CCGGTCACACTGGCAACCACCCTCTCACGCTCACACCCACTCACACTCTCACCCACTCACACTCTCACCCTCTCTCACACTCACACCCACTCACACTCACACCCACTCACACTCTCACCTTCACACTCACACCATCACACACTCACTCACACCCACTCACACTCTCACATTCACACTCTCACCCACTCACACTCTCACACTCTCACCCTCTCACACTCACACCCTCACACACTCACACTCTCACACAAGGCATCACACACTCACACCCTCACACTCACACCCTCACACTCACACCCTCACTCTCTCACACACTCACACCCACTCACTCACACCATCACACACTCTCACTCACACCATCACACACTCTCACTCACACCATCACACACTCTTACTCACACCATCACACACACTCACACCATCACACACACTCACACCATCACACACTCACACCATCACACACTCTCACTCACACCATCACACACTCTCACTCACACCATCACACTCACACCATCACACACTCTCACTCACACCATCACACACTCTCACTCACCCCATCACACACTCTCACTCACACCATCACACACTCTCACTCACACCATCACACACCATCACTCACACCATCACGCACACCATCACACACTCTCACTCACACCATCACACACTCACACCATCACACACACTCACACCCACACCATCACACACCATCACTCACACCATCACACACCATCACTCACACCATCACACACTCTCACTCACACCATCACATACCATCACTCACACCATCACACACTCTCACTCACACCATCACACACTCTCACTCACACCATCACACACACTCACACCATCACACACACTCACTCACACCATCACACACTCTCACTCACACCATCACACACTCTCACTCACACCATCACACTCTCTCACTCACACCATCACACACTCTCACTCACACCATCACACACACTCACCATCACACACCATCACTCACACCATCACACACCATCACACACACCATCACACACCATCACTCACACCATCACACACTCTCACTCACACCATCACACACTCTCACTCACACCATCACACTCTCTCACTCACACCATCACACACTCTCACTCACACCATCACACACACTCACCATCACACACCATCACACACCATCACTCACACCATCACACACACCATCACACACCATCACTCACTCTCACTCACACCATCACACACTCTCACTCACACCATCACACTCACACCATCACACACTCTCACTCACACCATCACACACTCTCACTCACCCCATCACACACTCTCACTCACACCATCACACACTCTCACTCACACCATCACACACCATCACTCACACCATCACTCACACCATCACACACTCTCACTCACACCATCACACACACTCACCATCACACACACTCACACCCACACCATCACACACCATCACTCACACCATCACACACCATCACTCACACCATCACACACTCTCACTCACACCATCACATACCATCACTCACACCATCACACACTCTCACTCACACCATCACACACTCTCACTCACACCATCACACACACTCACACCATCACACACACTCACTCACACCATCACACACTCTCACTCACACCATCACACACTCTCACTCACACCATCACACTCTCTCACTCACACCATCACACACTCTCACTCACACCATCACACACACTCACCATCACACACCATCACTCACACCATCACACACCATCACACACACCATCACACACCATCACTCACACCATCACACACCATCACTCACACCATCACACACTCTCACTCACACCATCACACACTCTCACTCACACCATCACACACACTCACACCATCACACACACTCACCATCACACCATCACTCACACCCACACCATCCCACACCATCACACACCATCACACACCATCACACACACTCACCATCACACACACTCACACCCACACCATCACACACCATCACTCACACCATCACACACCATCACTCACACCATCACACACCATCACTCACACCATCACACACTCTCACTCACACCATCACACACCATCACTCACACCATCACACACTCTCACTCACACCATCACACACTCTCACTCACACCATCACACACTCTCACTCACACCATCACACACTCTCACTCACACCATCACACACCATCACTCACACCATCACACACTCTCACTCACACCATCACACACTCTCACTCACACCATCACACACACTCACCATCACACACTCTCACTCACACCATCACACACTCTCACTCACACCATCACACACTCTCACTCACACCATCACACACACTCACACTCACACCATCACACACTCTCACTCACACCATCACACACTCTCACTCACACCATCACACTCACTCTCACCATCACACTCACTCTCACCATCACACACTCTCATACACACCATCACAATCACTCTCACACACACCATCACACATACTCACACACCATCACACACACTCACACACCATCACACTCATACACCATCACATACACACACCATCACACACTCTCACACACACCATCACACTCACTCTCACCATCACACACTCTCACTAACACCATCGGACACTCTCACTAACACCATCACACACACACACACACCCTCACACTAACACACACACACTCACCATCACTCACTTTCACACCATCACACACACTCACCATCACTCACTTTCACACCATCACACACACACACACCATCACACACTCACACACCATCACACACTCTCTCACTCACCATCACACACTCACCCACACCATCACACACACACTCACACACACACTCACACACTATCACACCCTATCACACCATCACACCATCACACCATCACACACACACACCATCACACACACACTCACACACTATCACACAAACACACACACTCACACACTATCACACCATCACACACACACACACCATCACACACACACACACCATCACACACACACCATCACACACACACCACCACACACACACCACCACACACACACACACCATCACACTCTCACTCACGTTGTCTCTGAACCCGTGGAACTTGTGCACCATGCCTCACACTCTCACTTACACACCATCACACACACACACTATCACACACACACACACCATCACACACACACCACCACACACACACACACCATCACACACTCACACACACACACACCATCACACACTAACACTCCCACTAACACCATCACTCTCTCACTCACGTTGTCCCTGAACCCGTGGAACTTGTGCACCATGCCTCACACTCTCACTCACACACCATCACACTCTCACACACCATCACACACTCACACACACACACTAACACACACACACCATCACACACTCTCTCACTCACGTTGTCTCTGAACCCGTGGAACTTGTGCACCATGCCTCACACTCTCACACACACACACACACCATCACACACACACACACCATCACACACACCATCACACACACACTAACACACACACACCATCACACTCACACACACACCATCACACACTCACACCATCACACACACACTAACACACACACACACACCATCACACACTCACACACCATCACACACTCTCACTAACACACACACCATCAAACACACCATCACACTCACGTTGTCCCTGAACCCGTGGAACTTGTGCACCATGCCTCACACTCACACCATCACACACACACCATCACACACTCTCACACACACACACACTAACACACACACTAACACCATCACACTCTCTCTCACACACACACACCACCACACACACACTAACACCATCACACACACACCATCACACTCACGTTGTCCCTGAACCCGTTGAACTTGTGCACCATGCCTCACACTCTCACTCACACACCATCACACACACTCACACACACACACCATCACACTAACACCATCACAGACACCATCACACACACACACCATCACACACTCACATCACCACACTCACTCACCATCACACACTCACACACCATCACACACTCTCTCTCACACACACACACACCCCATCACACACTCTCTCTCACACACACACACACACACCATCACACACTCACACACCATCACACACTCTCTCTCACACACACACACCATCACACACACTCACACACACACACCATCACACACTCTCTCTCACACACACACACCATCACACACACTCACACACACACACCATCACACACTCTCTCTCACACACACACACCATCACACACACCATTACACTCTCACTAACACCATCACACACTCTCTCACTCACGTTGTCCCTGAACCCGTGGAACTTGTGCACCATGCCTCACACTCTCACACACTCTCACTCACACACCATCACACACACACCACACACACACACTAACACACACTAACACACACACACCATCACACCATCACACACACACACACCATCACTCTCTCACTCACGTTGTCCCTGAACCCGTGGAACTTGTGCACCATGCCTCACACTCACACCATCACACACACTCACACACACACCATCACACACACACCATCACACACACACACACACCATCACACACTAACACACACACACACACCATCACACACACCATCTCACTCACGTTGTCTCTGAACCCGTGGAACTTGTGCACCATGCCTCACACTCTCACACACTCTCACTCACACACCATCACACACACACCATCACACACCACCACACACACACACACACACCATCACACACTCTCACACACCATCACACACTAACACACACACACACCATCACACACTCTCACACACCATCACACACACACCACACACACACACTAACACACACACACACCATCACACACTCTCTCTCACACACACACACCATCACACACACTCACGTTGTCCCTGAACCCGTGGAACTTGTGCACCATGCCTCACACTCACAAACACACCATCACACACACACACCATCACACACACACACACTAACACACCACCACACACACACACACACCATCACACACACTCACGTTGTCTCTGAACCCGTGGAACTTGTGCACCATGCCCGCGTGCGTGCTGAGTCGGAGTCCGTGCCCGCGTGCCACCCTACGCCAGAGGCCCTCGCTGAGCTCGGCACCCGACACCGAGTCCACTTTGCCCGTGCGCTGGTTCTTGAACACCACGCCCTGGCGCCCCAGGCGCAGACGGCCGTCCATCTGGGACAGGGGCGGAGGGAGAGGCGGGGAAGGAGAGGGAGAGGCGGGGAAGGGGGAGAGAGGGGGATACCAGCGTGGGAAAGCGTTAGGGGAGACCGTCACGGCGGCGGGGGTGTGGGTGTGTGTGTGTGGGTGTGTGTGTGGGTGTGTGTGTGTGTGGGTTTGTGTGTGGGTTTGTGTGGGTGTGTGTGTGGGTGTGTGTGGGTGGGTGTGTGTGTGGGTGGGTGAATGAGTGGGTGGGTGTGAGCGTGCGGGTGTGTGGGTGTGTGTGGGTTTGTGAGGGTGTGTGTGGATGTGTGTGGGTGAATGAGTGGGTGTGTGTGGGTGTGTGTGGGTGTGTGAGGGTGTGTGTGGATGTGTGTGGGTGTGGGTGTGTGTGGGTTTGGGTGAATGAGTGGGTGGGTGTGGGTGTGTGTGGGTGTGTGTGTGGGCGTGTGTGTGTGTGTGGGTGGGTGTGTGTGGGTGTGTGTGGGTGTGTGTGGGTGTGTGTGTGGGTGTTGGTGTGTGAGGGTGTGTGTGTGGGTTTGTGTGGGTTTGTGAGGGTTTGTGAGGGTTTGTGTGGGCGTGTGAGGGTTTGTGAGGGTGTGTGTGGGTGAATAAGTGGGTGGGTGTGAGCGTGTGGGTTTGTGAGGGTGTGTGAGGGTGTGTGTGGGTGTGTGGGTGAATGAGTGGGTGGGTGTGAGCGTGTGAGTGTGAGGGTGTGTGTGGATGTGTGTGGGTGAATGAGTGGGTGGGTGTGGGCGTGTGAGCGCGTGGGTGTGTGAGGGTGTGTGTGGGTGTGTGTGGGTAAATGAGTGGGTGGGTGTGAGCGTGAGGGTGTGTGTGGGTGAATGAGTGGGTGGGTGTAAGTGTGTGGGTTTGTGAGGGTGTGTGTGGGTGTGTGTGGGTGTGTGTGGGTGAATGAGTGGGTGGGTGTGAGCGTGTGGGTTTGTGAGGGTGTGTGTGGGTGTGTGTGTGGGTGTGTGTGGGTGTGAGCGTGAGGGTGTGTGTGGGTGTGTGTGGGTGTGTGTGGGTGAATGAGTGAGTGGGTGTGAGCGTGTGTGTGGGTGTGTGTGGGTGTGTGAGGGTGAATGAGTGGGTGTGTGTGGGTGTGTGTGGGTGTGTGTGGGTGGGTGTGAGCGTGTGTGGGTGAATGAGTGGGTGGGTGTGAGCGTGTGGGTTTGTGAGGGTGTGTGTGGGTGTGTGTGGGTTTGTGAGGGTGTGTGTGGGTGTGTGTGGGTGGGTGTGAGCGTGTGGGTTTGTGAGGGTGTGTAAGCAAGTGCTGTTAGTAGCGAGTAGCAGCAGCACCGCCTATGAAGTCCGGCACTGTGGCACACACAGAGGGGGTGGGTGGCCAGCACCACCACGTCCGCCCGTCCGCCTTTGTCTCCCCCAGTGGCGATGTTTACTACCCACCCAACCACCCTCCCACCCTCCCACCCACTCACCCACCCTCCCACCCACTCACCCACTCTCCCACCCACTCACCCACTCACCCACCCACTCACCCACCCACCCACTCACCCACCCACTCACCCACTCACCCACCCACCCACTCACCCACCCACTCTCCCACCCACCCACCCAACCACCCACTCAACCACCCACTCACTCACCCACCCACCCACTCACCCAACCACCCTCCCAACCACCCACCCAACCACCATCCCACCCACTCAACCACCCACTCATCCACCCAACCACCCACTCAATCACCCTCCCACCACTCAATCACCCTCCCACCCACCCTCCCACCCACCCTCCCACCCACCCACCCACCCTCCCACCCACTCACCCAACCACCCTCCCACCCACTCACCCAACTACCATCCCACCCACTCATCCACCCAACCACCCACTCAATCACCCTCCCATTCACTCAACCACCCTCCCACCCACTCACCCACCCAACCACCCTCCCACCCACTCACCCACTCAACCACCCTCCCACCCACTCAATCACCCTCCCATCCACTCAACCACCCACCCACTCACCCTCCCAACCACCCACCCAACCACCATCCCACCCACTCAATCACCCACTCAATCACCCAACCACCCACCCACTCACCCAACCACCATCCCACCCACTCAACCACCCACTCATCCACCCAACCACCCACTCAATCACCCTCCCACCCACTCAATCACCCTCCCACCCACCCAACCACCATCCCACCCACTCAATCACCCAACCACCCACTCACCCACCCACCCACTCAATCACCCACCCACTCACCCAACCACCATCCCACCCACTCAACCACCCACTCAACCACCCACCCTCCCACCCACTCACCCAACCACCCTCCCATCCACCCACTCACCCACCCACTCACCCACCCTCCCACCCACCCTCCCATCCACCCACTCACTCACTCACCCACCCACTCACCCACCCAACCACTCAATCACCCACCCACTCACCCACTCACCCAACCACCCACTCACCCACCCACACACTCACCCACTCACTCACCAAACCACCCACCCAACCACCCTCCCACCCACCCACTCAACCACCCTCCCACCCACCCAACCACCCATCCACTCACCCAGTAATAAAATAACACGATACAATATTACAATAATTACTACTCAGCCGTGGTAAAGCCGCCGCTAGATTAAAGGATTCTCCAATCCATTAGATCCTAGGAATTCATAATCCACACGTGACGATTTCATCATTCCATCTCCTCAAGAGAGTGCGCCCGCCTATGCATTAACGATAACTATACAACGCTAATATTATAATTCATAGGAGATGGTCTAACCACCGATGGCTTAAAGACTCCACAAAAATGCATAGATCATTGGTAATTAACAATCCACACAAGACGAGACCATTACATCGCTCCGTCTCCTCAGAGGACGTCGTCCACCCACCCCTTCCAATGTAATGCACCACCCCTAACCTCTCTCTCTCTCTCTCTCGCTCCTCCAGCTGCTTATCGATGACCGACGATCAATAATCGAACAAGAATGCGTCGACGATGATTTATCCCGGGCGTCTCACCATGACTCCTTTCACCTCCTGGAACACCTCGTTAAACTCCAGCACGTCCGTCATGTCCACGGCGGGAGACGATACGATGATGGTGGTGATGAGGATGGTGGTGGTTGTGGTGGTGGTGGTGAGGATGGTTGTGGTGGTGGTGATGGTGGTGGTTGTGGTGATGAGGATGGTTGTGGTGATGATGGTGGTTGTGGTTGTAGTGGTGGTAGTGGTTATGGTTGTGGTGATGGTGGTGGTTGTGGTGATGGTTGTGGTGATGATGGTGGTTGTGGTGGTGGTGGTTGTGATGATGGTTGTGGTGATGATGGTTGTGGTGATGATGGTTGTGGTGGTGGTTGTGGTGGTGGTTGTGGTGATGAGGATGGTGGTTGTGATGATGATGGTTGTGGTGATGGTTGTGGTGATGATGGTTGTGGTGGTGGTTGTGGTGGTTGTGGTGATGAGGATGATGGTTGTGGTGATGGTTGTGGTGATGGCTGTGGTGATGGTTGTGGTGATGATGGTGGTGATGATGGTTGTGGTGATGATGGTTGTGGTGATAGTTGTGGTGGTGGTTGTGATAGTGGTTGTGGTGGTGGTGGAGGCGTTCGCGAGTGGCGGGTCTCGGAGGCGAAAAAACAACAGCGGTTCTGAGGGGGGAAAAACCGCGGTCGTCTGTGTGAACCCTTAAACAACAAAAAAAAAGAAGAAACCTAACAGCGAATCGAGAGCCAACGTCGTGGCGACGTCCGAACAGCGACGTTCGTCAACCAACAGCGGTAAGAGTTTGTAAGGGCCGCAGCCAGCAACAGCGGCCGTCGGCGTCACGTGACCGGGGCCGAGGGTTTTGGCGGGAAAGTCTCCGCCTCCCCACCACCCACCACTTCCGCTGCAGGGGGTCAGAGGTTAGGCGCGCGCGCGTGAGCTTAATATAATATATTTATAACGTTATAACGTTTAAATAAATGTTGACTTTAAACCTTCGTGACTGCAGAACATTCATATTCTATGGTTCTTTCGGTAAAGTCACGCAGATAGAAAATAAAAAAAAATAATTAAAAAGTAAAATTCTAATTTGCTTAAATTGTTAATTTTTTATTTTTTAATTATTTTTTCCCCACGTGACTTTACCGAAAGAACCAAGAATATTAATGAGATATTTATAACGTTTAAATAAATGTTGACTTAAATTTTTATTTATTTTCTTATTAATTTAATTTTTTATCCACGTGACTCTACCGAAAGAACCAAGAATATTAATGAGATATTTATGACGTTTAAATAAATGTTGACTTAAATTTGTATTTTATTATTAATTTTATTTTTTATCCACGTGACTTTACCGAAAGAACCAAGAATATTACATAATATATTTATAACGTTTAAATAAATGTTGACTTACATTTTTATTTATTTTTTAAATTAATTATATTTTTTATCCACGTGACTTTACCGAAAGAACCAAGAATATTAATAAGATATTTATAACGTTAAATAAATGTTGACTTAAATTTTTATTTATTTTCTTATTAATTTTATCTTTTTATCCACGTGACTTTACCGAAAGAACCAAGAATATTAATGAGATATTTATAACGTTTAAATAAATGTTGACTTAAATTTTTATTTATTTTTAAAATTAATTTTATTTTTTATCCACGTGACTTTACCGAAAAGAACCAAGAATATTAATGAGATATTTATAACGTTTAAATAAATGTTGACTGAAATTTGTATTTATTTTATTAATTTTTATTTTTTATCCACGTGACTTTACCGAAAGAACCAAGAATATTAATGAGATATTTATAACGTTTAAATAAATGTTGGCTTAATTTTTATTTATTTTTTAAATTAATTATATTTTTTATCCACGTGACTTTACCGAAAGAACCAAGAATATTAATGAGATATTTATAACGTTTAAATAAATGTTGACTTTAATTTTTATTTCATTATTAATTTTATTTTTTATCCACGTGACTTTACCGAAAGAACCAAGAATATTAATAAGATATTTATAACGTTTAAATAAATGTTGACTTTAATTTTTCTTTATTTTTTAAATTAATTATATTTTTTATCCACGTGACTCTACCGAAAGAACCAAGAATATTAATGAGATATTTATAACGTTTAAATAAATGTTGACTTACATTTTTATTTATTTACTTATTAATTTCATTTTTATCCACGTAACTTTACCGAAAGAACCAAGAATATTATGAGATATTTATAACGTTTAAATAAGTGTTGACTTAAATTTTTATTTATTTTTAATTATTAATTTTTATCCACGTGACTTTACCGAAAGAACCAAGAATATCATGAGATATTTATAACGTTTAAATAAATGTTGACTTAAATTTGTATTTATTTTCTTATTAATTTTATTTTTTATCCACGTGACTTTACCGAAAGAACCAAGAATATTAATAAGATATTTATAACGTTTAAATAAATGTTGGCTTATTTTTTATTTATTTTTTAAATTCATTTTATTTTTTATCCACGTGACTTTACCGAAAGAACCAAGAATATTAATGAGATATTTATAACGTTTAAATAAATGTTGACTTCAATTTTTATTTATTTTTTAATTAATTTTATATTTTTATCCACGTGACTTTACCGAAAGAACCAAGAATATTAATAAGATATTTATAACGTTTAAATAAATGTTGACTTTAAACTTTCGTCACTGCAGAAAATTCATATTCTATGGTTCTTTCGGTAAAGTCACGCAGATAGAAAATAAAAAAATAATTTTAATTAAAAAGTTAAATTCCAATTTGCTTTTATTGTTAATTTTTATGTATTGTTTTAATTAATTTTAACTTTTTTATCCACGTGACTTTACCGAAAGAACCAAGAATATTAAATAAAATATTTATAACGTTTAAATAAATGCTGACTTTTAAACGTTGGTGACTTCAGAAAATTCATATTCCGTGGTTAAGTCCCTACAGAGCCTCACCTGTCAGTTTTATTTATTTTATTTTCAGTTTATTTATTTTGGTACAGCCCTGTGAGCCGTTCGGCTCTTGAATCGGGTGCAACAGCAACAAACCAAAAAAATTGACGAACAAGAAAAAAAACCATCTTAAAGTGACCACGCGTGTTGACTGTGCAAAACTAAAAATCCATGGGAAAAGAAAAAACAGCAAAATATTCCTGAAAAATTCACCGCGTACACCACCGAAAGAGCTAAGAATGTGAACAGCTAAGAATATGAACAACAACAACATTCTTGGTTCTTTCGGTAAAGTCACCACCACCACGTAGAAGGGAAACAATAAAAGAATAAAAATATAAAACAATAAAATAATAAAAATATAAAACAATAAAAATATTGATACAATTATTATTCTTGGTTCTTTCGGTAAAGTCACCACCACGTGACTTTACCGAAAGAACCAAGAATAATAATTTTATTGTTTTATATTTTTATCATTTCATTGTTTCCCTTCTAACGTGGTGGTGACTTTACCGAAAGAACCAAGAATAATAATTTTATTGTTTTATATTTTTATCATTTTATTGTTTCCCTTCTAACGTGGTGGTGACTTTACCGAAAGAACCACGAATATTAATTTTATTGTTTTATTTTTTTATTATTTTATTGTTTCCCTTCTAACGCGGTGGTGACTTTACCGAAAGAACCACGAATATTAATTTTATTGTTTTACAATAATTTTATTATTCTTAGTTTTTTCGGTAAAGTCACGTTGAAGAGAAACAACAAAATAACAAAATATATATATTTTTTTATTGTTTTTTATTGTTTTATATATATTTTGTTATTTTGTTGTTTCTCTTCAACGTGACTTTACCGAAAAAACTAAGAATATGAATTATTGCAGTCACGAAAGCTTTAAATCAAAAAATAATTTTATTGTTTTATATTTTTATTATTTTATTGTTTTATATTTTTTAATTCATTGCTTCCCTTCCAACGTGGTGGCGGTGACTTTACCGAAAGAACCACGAACATGAATGAATCCCCGCAGTCACGAAAGCTTCAAATCAAACATTTATAATCCGGCATCGGCGTCGCGACAGCATCAACCGTCACCACCGCTCACGCCCGTCAACAGCCGCCATCCCGGAGGCCGAGGAACCCACGGGCGGATGACCCTGCCGCGGAAACGTGGAATTTCCCCCCGCGGATAAATTCGCGACCACAAAAAAAAAAAGCCGACACCTCGACACAGCTCTTCACTTCCATCCGCGTAGTCCCAACGAAACAGTCACCCGATCATGAATATGTAATGAGAGAGCGTCACCTGGAGGGGAGGGCTGTTACAGGGGACATCTGCATGTCCGCCGCTGGGTAACCGGTATCCGATCTGGAGTATGGGGGATTCGATCTCGGCCGGGGGGGCGGGGGGGCAAATTTTTGGACTCGCTGGGCCACAAATGGGTTCCAAGATTCGACGGAGGGGTCCGGGCCACTCGCCGGTCAAAGTGCGCCATCTAATGGGTGAATGGGGGCATTGCAGGAGAAAGGTAAAATTTAATTTAATATTTTGATTTAAAGCTTTTCGTGACTGCAGTAATTCATATTCTTAGCTCTTTCGGTAAAGTCACCACGTAGAAGGGAAACAGTAAAATAATAAAATATATAACAATACATATATTTATATTTTTTATTCTTTATTGTTTTATTGTTTCCCTTCAACGTGACTTTACCGAAAGAGCTAAGAATATGAATAATAATGATAACGATATTTGGACAGGCTCGGCGGGCCGGATCAAAACGCCCAGCGTCCGATTCTAGGCCAAAGGTAACGGGGCGGAGCTACGGGGGAACATTCGTGAACCATCCAGAGGAGGCTTCTTCCACGATGGTGGAGGAGGAGAGGAGGAGGAGAGGAGGGTGGAGAGTGGGGCGTGGCCGTACGGCGGGGAGGCTTATAAGCGGGGGGTTACGGGAGAGGACTCGGGGTCGGTGTGTGGGAACCCCTCGGGACTCCGGACTGCATCGGCCGCTCCGCCTCGCCGCGGACACGAGTGGCGAACCACCGGCGACGCCGCATCTCCGGAGGGCGGATCGTCAGGGCAGAGTTGGCGGGGAAGCGAGGGAACATTATACCCAGAGAGACAGAGAGAGAGACAGAGAGACAGAGAGAGAGAGAACGCGGAACTGTGCAGACACCTCCGTTGAATGAAAGACGCCGGTTTAAGAGTTCGCCGTGGAAGTCGTTTATTACAAATAAATACAAATATATAAAAGCCATAAATACGCGTATATTAATCGGTCAGTCGTAACAACAATTAGTAATAAATAAAGCACGCGCGTGTGTGTGCGTGTGTTCACGCGCGCGTATACGTATATAAATAGAAAGATCCCCCCTGAAAGCCTTAACAGACTGTTTGGGGGGCAAGTGCCGTTAGCAGTGAGTAGCAGCAGCAGCACCATCACTACACACCGCACCAGGAACTCATTTGAGGCTGAGTCGACCTAGGTGAGGCCCAGAACCATTTCAGATAATCGTCACAGTGGTGTCGGCCGTGAGCGGGAATCGAACTCAGGTCGGCAGGATTTACATACGCACGTGGGTATACAACAACAACAACCGCCATTCGCCACTAAGTGGCGGTGACGTCACCACGACGCTTGTGCCAGGCCATGTGCACCTTGAGGCCACGTAAAGTGTCGAACGCCCGCTGGCAGGAGGTCACGGGGCAGACCCAGGTGCCATGCATACCCACGTATACATACGTACACACACGTATGTGTACGTATATATACGTGGCTAGTGATGGGTGGGCGTGGCTAGTGGTGTGGTAGGCGTGGCAAGTAGTGTAATGGGCGTGGCTAGTGGTGGGCGTGGCTAGCAGGGTGGTTAGGAAGTGGCTAGTGGGGTAATGGACGTGGCTAGTGGTGGGCGTGGCTAGTGGGGGTGGTAGGCGTGGCAAGTAGTGTTAATGGGCGTGGCTTGTGGTGGGCGTGACTAGTGGTGGGCGTGGCTAGTGGGGGTGGTAGGAGTGGCTATAGTGGGGTAATGGACGTGGCTAGTGGTGGGCATGGCTAGTGGGGGGTGGTAGGCGTGGCAAGTAGTGTAATGGGCGTGGCTAGTGGTTGGCGTGGCTAGTGGGGGTGGTAGGCGTGGCAAGTAGTGTAATGGACGTGTCTAGTGGTGGGCGTGGCCAGTGGGGGTGGTAGGCGTGGCAAGTAGTGTAATGGGCGTGGCTAGTGGCACGGTGGACAAGGTTGGTGGGGGTGGTGGGTGTGGGCTAGGCCGCCAGGAGTCGGAGTCTCACGAGGTCGCGACCCAGCCGCTGGAGCCACACCCCCAGCTCGCTCAGCACGAGGAAGCCGTGCAGGTCGCGTGATGATTGGGTGAGCGTGTGGGCGGGGCCTGGGGGGGAGGAGGCTCCAGGCTGTGGCTCCGCCCCCAGAGACGACAGCTGTGGAATGGGGGGAAGGGAGGTGGAGATGGACATTCAACGTTAGTCTACGGTGTAGTGTTGAGTCTATGGTGCAGTGTTGAGTCTATGGTGCAGTACTGAGTCTATGGTGCAGTGTTGAGTCTATGGTGCAGTGTTGAGTCTATGGTGCAGTGTTGAGTCTGTGGTGCAGTGTTGAGTCTATGGTGCAGTGTTGAGTCTATGGGCAGTGTTGAGTGTATGGTGCAGTATTGAGTATATGGTGCAGTGTTGAGTCTATGGTGCAGTGTTGAGTCTATGGTGCAGTGTTGAGTCTATGGTGCAGTGTTAAGTCTATGGTGCAGTGTTGAGTCTATGGTGCAGTGCTGAGTCTGTGGTGCAGTGTTGAGTCTGTGGTGCAGTGTTGAGTCTATGGTGCAGTGTTGAGTCTATGGTGCAGTGCTGAGTCTATGGTGCAGTGTTGAGTCTATGGTGCAGTGTTGAGTCTATGGGGCAGTGTTGAGTCTATGGTGCAGTGTTGAGTCTATGGTGCAGTGTTAAGTCTATGGTGCAGTGTTGAGTCTATGGTGCAGTGCTGAGTCTGTGGTGCAGTGTTGAGTCTGTGGTGCAGTGTTGAGTCTATGGTGCAGTGTTGAGTCTATGGTGCAGTGCTGAGTCTATGGTGCAGTGTTGAGTCTATGGTGCAGTGCTGAGTCTATGGTGCAGTGTTGAGTCTATGGTGCAGTGTTGAGTCTATGGGGCAGTGTTGAGTCTATGGTGCAGTGTTGAGTCTGTGGTGCAGTGTTGAGTCTGTGGTGCAGTGTTAAGTCTATGGTGCAGTGTTGAGTCTATGGTGCAGTGCTGAGTCTGTGGTGCAGTGTTGAGTCTGTGGTGCAGTGTTGAGTCTATGGTGCAGTGTTGAGTCTATGGTGCAGTGCTGAGTCTATGGTGCAGTGTTGAGTCTATGGTGCAGTGCTGAGTCTATTGTGCAGTGTTGAGTCTATGGTGCAGTGTTGAGTCTATGGGGCAGTGTTGAGTCTATGGTGCAGTGTTGAGTCTGTGGTGCAGTGTTGAGTCTATGGTGCAGTGTTGAGTCTATGGGCAGTGTTGAGTCTGTGGTGCAGTGTTGAGTCTATGGTGCAGTGTTGAGTCTATGGGCAGTGTTGAGTCTGTGGTGCAGTGTTGAGTCTATGGTGCAGTGTTGAGTCTATGGTGCAGTGTTGAGTCTATGGTGCAGTGTTGAGTCTATGGTGCAGTGTTGAGTCTATGGTGCAGTGTTGAGTCTATGGTGCAGTGTTGAGTCTGTGGTGCAGTGTTGAGTCTGTGGTGCAGTGTTGAGTCTGTGGTGCAGTGTTGAGTCTATGGTGCAGTGTTGAGTCTGTCGTGCAGTGTTGAGTCTATGGTGCAGTGTTGAGTCTATGGGCAGTGCTGAGTCTGTGGTGCAGTGTTGAGTCTGTGGTGCAGTGTTGAGTCTATGGTGCAGTGTTGAGTCTATGGGCAGTGTTGAGTCTGTGGTGCAGTGTTGAGTCTATGGTGCAGTGTTGAGTCTATGGTGCAGTGTTGAGTCTATGGTGCAGTGTTGAGTCTATTGTGCAGTGTTGAGTCTATGGTGCAGTTTTGAGTCTATGGTGCAGTGTTGAGTCTGTGGTGCAGTGTTGAGTCTGTGGTGCAGTGTTGAGTCTGTGGTGCAGTGTTGAGTCTATGGTGCAGTGTTGAGTCTATGGTGCAGTGTTGAGTCTATGGTGCAGTGTTGAGTCTGTGGTGCAGTGCTGAGTCTATGGTGCAGTGTTGAGTCTATTGTGCAGTGTTGAGTCTATGGTGCAGTGTTGAGTCTATGGGCAGTGCTGAGTCTATGGTGCAGTGCTGAGTCTATGGTGCAGTGTTGAGTCTGTGGTTGTGCAGTGTTGAGTCTATGGTGCAGTGTTGAGTCTATGGGCAGTGCTGAGTCTATGGTGCAGTGCTGAGTCTATGGGCAGTGTTGAGTCTATGGTGCAGTGTTGAGTCTGTGGTGGTGCAGTGTTGAGTCTGTGGTGCAGTGTTGAGTCTATGGTGCAGTGTTGAGTCTGTGGTGCAGTGTTGAGTCTATGGTGGTGCAGTGTTGAGTCTATGGTGCAGTGTTGAGTCTATGGTGTAGTGTTGAGTCTGTGGTGGTGCAGTGTTGAGTCTGTGGTGCAGTGTTGAGTCTATGGTGCAGTGTTGAGTCTATGGGGCAGTGTTAAGTCTATGGGGCAGTGCTGAGTCGGGTGTACAGTGCGGGCAGGGGTGTACAGTGCGGGCCGGGGTGTACAGTACGAGCCCGGGGTGTACAGTGCGAGCCCGGGGGGTGTAGTGCTAGCCCGGGGTGTACAGTGCGAGCCGGGGTGTACAGTGGCGGGCCCGGGGGTGTACAGTGCGGGCCGGGGGTGTACAGTGGCTGGCCCGGGGTGTACAGTACGAGTCTGGGTGTACAGTGCGAGCCGGGGTGTACAGTGCGAGCCGGGGTGTACAGTGCTGGCCGGGGTGTACAGTGCGGGCCGGGGGTGTACAGTGCGAGTCGGGGTGTACAGTACGGGTCGGGTGTACAGTAGGAGTCGGGTGTACAGTAGGAGTCGGGGTGTACTGTACGAGCCGGGTGTACAGTACGAGCCCGGGGTGTACAGTGGCGGGCCGAGGGTGTACAGTGGCGGGGCCCCGGGGGGGTGTGTGTGTACAGTGGCGGGGCCCCGGGGGTGTGTGTGTGTACAGTGCACCTGCACGCGCAGGCGCTCCCTCAGGTCCGCCATGTCCGTGGCGAGCACGCGCAGGGAGCGTCCCAGGGAGCTCCCGGCGCGCGCCCCTCCTCTTCCGGTCGCCGTTCCCGCCAAAATCTTCTCCCGCTCCGCCCCTCCCCCTCCCCTGCGCGCGCTCAGCTCGCTCAGCTCGCGGCTTAAGCGTCCGAGGGCGCTCCACGCGGCCTGGACGCGGGAAATCTCCTGTTGGGGGCAAGGGGGTGTGGAAATTGTTAATGAATTAAAAATGTTTTCGCTGTAATAATTAACTTTTTTTCAAAATAAAAGTTTGGTTTTTAACGGTGTATATTCGTTCGTTATGATTAAAAAAAAAATAAACCGGCGCCTTTATAAGACTGTGGAACAAATTTTGTTTGTTTGGGTTTGTTTGGTTGTTCCCTGTGCAGCGTTATTTTCTAATCGAGAATTGAAGCTTTCGTAAATGTTAACTTTATGATTTATTTTAAATTGAGCATGTTATTTTGTAATTGCTTTATGCCTAAAAAGTAGAGAAAGTACCTAAGGGAAACAATAAAAAAATAAAAAATATATATAAAACAATAAAATTGTTGTTAAACAATAAAAAGTATTATTTTTGGTTCCTTTGGTAAAGTGACCACCATGTAGAAGGGAAATAATAAAATAATAAAAATATAAAACAATTAAATTATTGTTAAATAATAAAATTATTATTCTTGGTTCTTTTGGTAAAGTCGGGGCCACGTAGAAGGGAACCAATAAAATAATTAAAATATAAAATAATAAAAATATAAAACAATAAAATTATTATTCTTGGTTCTATCGGTACAGTCACAACGTAGAAGGGAAACAATAAAATAATAAAAATATAAAACAATAAAATTATTATTCTTGGTTCTTTCGGTAAAGTCACCACCACGTAGAAGGGAAACAATAAAATAATAAAAATATAAAACAATAAAATTAATATTCTTGGTTCTTTCGGTAAAGTCACCACGTAGAAGGGAAACAATAAAATAATAAAAATATAAAACAATAAAATTATTGTAAAACAATAAAATTAATATTCTTGGTTCTTTCGGTAAATTCACCACGTAGAAGGGAAACAATAAAATAATAAAAATATAAAACAATAAAAATATAAAATAATAAAATTATTATTCTTGGTTATTTCGGTAAAGTCACCACCACGTAGAAGGGAAACAATAAAATAATAAAAATATAAAACAATAAAATTAATATTCTTGGTTCTATCGGTAAAGTCGCCACGTGTATACTTTAACTTTAACATAGCCATTTCTGTGACCAGTCACAAGCTAATCACTCAGCCATTTCAATGCTAAATTCTCCTGTTTGATTGGTACTAAGGTGCCTCTGTGGATGTGTATGCTTTGACTTTAACATAGCCATTTCTGTGACCAGTCACAAGCTAATCACTCAGCCATTTCAATGCTAAATTTTCCTGTTTGATTTGTACTAGGTGCCTCTGTGGATGTGTAGGCTTTGACTTTAACATAGCCATTTCTGTGACCAGTCACAAGCTAATCACTCAGCTATTTCAATGCTAAATTCTATGCTAATTCCTTTGTCAAGGCGCTTTGTTTCTTCTGACACAGCTTAAAGGTCGTGATCTGAACGTGGCTTTGTTCACTCCAGCGCTGTCCTACCAGACAGTCTCGTCCCTTCACCTGATGAAGGCCGCTTGTGTTGTGGCCGAAACGTCGTGAGAATATTATCCTCGCGTTATTTGTATTTTATCAATTTATTATTTTTATTCTCATTCTACGTGGTGGCGGTGACTTTACCGAAAGAACCAACAGAAGATGAATCCTTGCAGTCACGAAAACTTCAAATCGAAATATATAGAGGGTTGGGTTCTTAAGGGGGTGGTGGTGGTGGTTGTTGTTGTGGTGGTGGTGGTGGTTGTTGTGGTGGTGGTTGTTGTTGTGGTGGTTGTTGTTGTTGTTGTGGTGGTGGTGGTTGTTGTTGTGGTGGTGGTGGTTGTTGTTGTGGTGGTGGTGGTGGTTGTTGTGGTGGTGGTTGTTGTTGTTGTTGTGGTGGTGGTGGTTGTGGTGGTAGTGGTTGTTGTTGTTGTGGTGGTGGTGGTTGTTGTTGTGGTGGTGGTGGTTGTTGTTGTGGTGGTGGTTGTTGTTGTTGTTGTGGTGGTGGTGGTTGTGGTGGTGGTGGTTGTTGTTGTTGTTGTGGTGGTGGTTGTTGTTGTGGTGGTGGTGGTTGTTGTTGTGGTGGTGGTGGTTGTTGTTGTTGTGGTGGTGGTTGTTGTTGTGGTCGTTGTTGTTGTTGTGGTGGTGGTTGTTGTTGTTGTGGTGGTGGTTGTTGTTGTTGTGGTGGTGGTTGTTGTTGTGGTGGTGGTGGTTGTTGTTGTGGTGGTGGTGGTTGTTGTTGTTGTGGTGGTGGTTGTTGTTGTGGTCGTTGTTGTTGTTGTGGTGGTGGTTGTTGTTGTTGTGGTGGTGGTTGTTGTTGTTGTGGTGGTGGTTGTTGTTGTGGTGGTGGTGGTGGTGTAGCAGAAGTATCGATCCATTGATCCGGCGACTCACCGACAGTGCACGCCAGTGGCTATACGAGACTTCAGCACCCGGTAGGTGGACACCCAGACCGACGGACGTGGGCACGTATTGGAACTTCTCCATGGCCTGCGAGGGAGGGAGGGAGGGGAGGGAGGGAGGGAGGGAGAGAGGGAGAGAGGGAGGGAGGGAGGGGAGGGAGAGAGGGGAGGGAGGGAGGGAGGGTGAGAACGGTGAAGTATGGTTACAACAACAACCACATATTTTGGTTGCAGTGGTGGTAGGTGGTGGTGGTAGGTGGTGGTGGTGGTAGGTGGTGGTGGTAGGTGGTGGTTGTAGGTGGTGGTAATGGTAGGTGATGGTAGGTGGTGGTGGTGGTGGTAGGTGGTGGTGGTAGTGATGGTAGGTGATGGTAGGTGGTGGTGGTGGTGGTGGTAGGTGGTGGTGGTAGTGATGGTAGGTGATGGTAGGTGGTGGTGGTGGTGGTAGTGGTGGTGGTAGGTGGTGGTGGTGGTAGTGGTGGTGGTAGTGGTGGTAGTGGTGGTGGTGGTGGTAGGTGGTGGTGGTAGGTGGTTGCAGTGGTGGTGGTAGTGGTGGTGGTGGTAGTGGTGGTGGTAGTGGTGGTGGTGGTAGGTGGTGGTGGTAGTGGTGGTGGTAGTGGTGGTGGTGGTAGGTGATGGTGGTGGTAGGTGATGGTAGGTGGTAGGTGGTGATAGTGGTAGGTGGTGGTGGTAGTGGTGGTGGTGGTAGGTGGTAGTGGTGGTAGTGGTGGTGGTGGTGGTAGTGGTGGTGGTAGTGGTGGTGGTAGTGGTGGTGGTGGTAGTGGTGGTGGTAGTGCTGGTGGTAGGTGGTGGTGCTGGTTGTGGTGGTGGTAGTGGTGGTGGTAGTGGTGGTAGGTGGTGGTAGTGGTGGTGGTGGTGGTAGTGGTGGTAGTGGTGGTGGTGGTTCATTGCAAGGTCGTACATAGTCATGGAGTCAACATTGGGGGGGTTGGGGTGGACGAAATTTCCCAGACGGTTTGGGGGTGCCCCCCCCCCTCTCCCACAGGAAAACAAAAAAAAATCTTAATTTGAAAACTAATTTCGTGCCATTTCCTGCCTAAAATATTATAAAAAAAAATTCACTATGGACTTTTTATTTAGGTTTTACAATAATGTCTAAGAGTGCATTATTGTATTACATTGCATTGTATGCAATGGCAGAGATTAGGGATTTATAAAGTAAAACCATAACCACAATCAATTTTATAGCAATACATTTTATAGCAAACAGTAAAAACCTTGGATTACGAGCGACTTGGTCTGTTTTTGCAAGACGAGCAAACGTTGTTTAAATATAAACATTAACTTGATAAACGAGCGAGGGTCTGGCAATACGAGCAGCAGCAGCAGCAGCACGTGGTAGACGCTTTGTAATGCCCGAGCGTCACGTGATCACAATTGATATATGACGAGGGATTTGACGTACGAGTGATTTGACGTACGAGCGCTTTGACATACGAGTGCTTTGACGTACGAGTGCTTTGACGTACGAGCGCTTTGAAGTACGAGTGCTTTGACGTACGAATGCTTTGACGTACGAGTGCTTTGACGTCTGAGCGCTTTTATGTACGAGTGCTTGGATGTACGAGTGCTTTTATGTACGAGTGCTTTGATGTACGAGTGCTTTTATGTACGAGTGCTTTGACGTACGAGTGCTTTGATGTACGAGTGCTTTTATGTACGAGTGCTTGGATGTACGAGTGCTTTGACGTACGAGTGCTTGGATGCAAGAGTGCTTTGATGTACGAGTGCATTGACGTACGAGTGCTTTGACGTACGGGCGCTTTGACGTACGAGTGCTTTGACGTACGAGTGCTTTGACGTACGAGTGCTTTGACGTACGAGCGCTTTGACGTACGAGCGCTTTGGATTACCAAACACGTTTCCGGAACGAATTATGTGTCCCACTCAATATTATAATTACGGCCTCCGTCTCAAATCACTGCACCTGAATTAAGTTCAATGATGACGATGTCACACTATTGCTCTATTTAAGACCGGGAGCAAGTGGAGAGGGCAATTCACCATTCTGGCGAATTGCCCGACGACGACGATGATGATGCTGGGGATGCAGTTACCAGCGAAACGTCGCACTACTAACTCAAACTGTAAATGTTGTGGATTCACTCTTCAACAACACCACCACAGCGGCGTGGGGGCTAAAGTGGTTGAACTAATTTGTCCTCGAACGCAGCGACGTGAATCCTTTTGCAGAAAGGTTTCAGATTTGTTGCCGGGGAAAAAGGTGGAAGAACCCTACTGTTGTGATTTTTCGGAACTGGCAAAGGAGGTCGAATGATTATATAATTCGCCCAGCAATGTCACGTTACGAATCCTATTGTAACGTTACAAACGAGCTGGTTTTATTTTATATATATAGCACAGCTGATGAATGTTGAGCATTAAAAACCTTTACTTTACTAACAAAATATTCATCGGTATTATTTATTGCTGGAATATTTTTTTTCCCCTTCTGGCAAATGACGGCCCTAGCAATGTAACGTTACAAACGAGCTGGTTTTATTTTATATATATAGCACAGCTGATGAATATTGAGCATTAAAAACCTTTACTTTAGCAACAAAATATTCATCGGTATTATTTTTTACCGGAATATTTTTTTCCCATCTGGCAAATGACGGCCCTAGCAATGTAACGTTACAAACGAGCTGGTTTTATTTTATATATATAGCACAGCTGATGAATATTGAGCATTAAAAACCTTTACTTTAGTAACGAAATATTCATCGGTATTATTTATTACTGGAATATTGTTTTTCCCC